TTTACTTTGGAGACATTTCCACTCACTCCCTGTTGTGTTTCCAGGAGAGGAAGTGAAGGGAATTCTCCCCAATGGGACATAGACAAGAAAAAAACCCAGATAGGAATTATAACCATTCCCTGCCCAAACAAAAAAATGATGGCCTTTAGGTAAACTTTAACCTGTAGGGGTCTATTTCTACACAATTTGCAGGGCCCTTTGCCCTGTGACTATCAATGAATGTTTGGTTTGGGCGAACAATGCCAAAAATGCATTTTCTTAATATATTCTATTCCAGTTCGATTGTATGGTCATGTAATGCTACATTTTGGCCACTAGACAGAGCTGAGGCGCATGGGAAATTAGTAAATTCATATGCTCCTCATCTCCATCGTTTGGCCAAAATGTAGTATTACACAATAATACATTAGAACTGGGGAAAAAATATATTAAGTACGTTAATTTTTGGCATTATTTGCCCGAAATGAATATTTACATATATTCAATGGGCAAAGAGCCCTGCAAATTGTTTTTAAATAGAATCCATACTGTCTAAGTGAACGTTCTTTTATATGGCCCTCAGTCCCGATTCCATGCAAAGGTTTCAGCTGCCCAACCAGAATTCTTTACACAGCACTTGTGTATACAAAGCCATAATGCCCTAATGATTGGAACTGGAAGATGCCATTGCATGCTTGAGCTTAGTGAGCTTACATTGTGAGCAAGGCAACACCAGTTGATTAAATATGATATATGGCAACCATATAGCAGTTTCATTTCTCTTGAAACTCTACATTTGTGATGTACTGTAGATCTTACAAGAAAAAATAAATTAAAAAAATGAGGATTTGATTAGGATAAAACCATATCAAGTAAGGCATGCAGAATGAATAGGGACGAAGGCAAGACACAGTATGAGAGGTATGATGCAATATAGGAAGATTCAGAGAGCGACAAGAGGAGAAGAGGAAGGCAATGAACCAAAAGCCTAAGCAACATGCTTAGCGCAACTTTTTACTGTACAGGCAATAATCAAAAACTGTGTGTTAAGAGAAATACATGATACAGATTGTAGGTTTATGTCTGTTAGTAGATACAGTATAAACTATAGAATCATATTTTGGTTTTCTGCGGCTTACACTGGAATCAGCTATTCTTACTTGGAGCAATAGTTGGGTGAGGCCGACAAGGAGGAATCGGGTACGGTACTGGCTTGTGTGGATTATATGAAGAAGGAGCCTGCGGAAGGGAGAACAATTATTATATATTTGATACAAGGGTCCATATTATATGTATGTAAGTTTATGTATAATACATTTCACCGACATGTCTTTTACAGATAAAAATATAATATTTTATGCAGAGCATTTATCTACTCCTTTCCTATAATATTACAGAAATAAGTGGACTGCGCTAGCAAAACAACCAGATGGAAATCATCAAGCAATTCATGTCTTCAAAAGCAAATGGCTGGTAAAGTTAAACATCCAATAACTTATTACAGGTCTGTGAGATATCACAGTAAGTAACTGGAAATGAAAATAAACCAAACACTCAGAATACATTAAAAAAACGCAGGACCTCTCTTTCAAGGAGCTATATAGATTAAATTCCTGTAGAACGGAAACTGGGATTGGGACGAAAATCTTTTAACGTTTTTCTGCAAAAAAAAAGGGAAGGATACACTAAAATTTACATAGCTTATAAAAAAAACAAAACATCCTTCCAACCATCTGGAACAGCTTTCTGGTTCTCACATTTCATTATATTGAGTAAAATTAAAAACATGTAGTCAAAGGTGACATACAATATAGCTTCAAGTACTAAATCTTTCATGCACAGCAATTTAAGTCACATTTTTCACTTTATGTTTTACATTTGATTTTTTTTATTTACTTACTGGTTTACATGGGCCAAGTATCCTGGCTGCAATTCCCTTTCCGTCATTTGTCTCTTCTCCATCCTTCTTCAGAGATGTTCCCTAAAATATAAAGAAGTACTTTTCAGTTAAAGATCATATTAAAAATATCTTCCATTTTTTTTTAGAATATGACTGTGCCAGAAGGGGATGCAACTTAACTCCTAAGTACATGGTACCATCGTTAAACAGATGCGGTCACTTTTTTTTCCTATTCAGGTCTCTTGATATTCCATCCCCTGACCCACTTATTCTCACCTGCCAACTGTTCCCCTGCCATGCCTTCCTGTAGCCACCGCAAAATAATTTCCTGATGATTCCGTGATGCAGTGCTCAGGCCTGAGTGGCCAATCAACAGGCCTGAACAGTCAGATGACAGAGTGTGGAACAATCAATCCGGTGTGAACTCTGACTTAGTGTGGTATTTTGCGGTGTCTGTGATGAAAGTAGCAGCAGCAGGGGGGGGGCTTGAAAGGCAAGTATATGTATCTGCTGGATGGGGCCAACCTAAGTGTGGGACTATGATAGAAGTTGGGTGAAACCTGCCCTAATCATATTCTGCTGAAAACCAGGAGTCAGTACTAATCAGATTAGCCCAGTGAACACAAATGTCTTCAAAAAATGGTTCTTCATATCCACTATGTTGAAAGACACAGCCTGCTGCTTGCTTTCATGTGAAAATATGATTCATACTGTATGGTCAAAGTAATCTGGTATTGTAGACAATGCTGAGAAAGATGCATCCAAGTTCAGGGTTGGTAAAGATACTTCAGTTTACTAGGAAATCTAACAGATCATTTCCTAAGTGGTCTTTGGGCGGTTTTGGAAAGTCACAACGGCACCCAGTTTTTATTTTAATGATCTGCACATCTATGTGTTATGCAGTATAAGTAGTGTCCTTACAGGGAATATTCCATTGATGCGACTGGGTCTGCCCTTGGGGTACGGGTTTCCGGGGATCATCCCACAGGAGGAAATCATAGCATTTGGAGCTTTACATCCACTCTTTGTTGCCTAAAGGAAAGAAACCCACAAAAGCACACATCAAACCACATTACATCCAGAACTGTTAGTCAATAACTGATGTACATGAAGATGTTACTAATCATATCCTTTAAAGTCGGGGAGCTCCTGGAATCCAGGAGCCAGCTCCATTGAAATATGATTTAAAGCCTCAGGAACCACATACACTGCAAACTAGACTGCATTTGCTAGTGTACACATACCATTTAACAAAGATCTGTACATATAAAATGTGGACACCCCCCCCCCTAACAAACATCTGTGCATATACAATGTGGAACCACCTCCTATACAGAAGAAACATCTAGATGTGATGGTTCTCTCTTTCAGTCCCATAAAAGTGACTATGGCTTCTTTTGGCCCTGAACAGCTCTGTCCTTGGAAGTAGAGATGATCAGGCAAATAATACCACACGGCAAAACACCTCACTGGAAAATTATTTGGAATAGGTGTTTTAATAAAGGGGCATGTGTAATAACTAATACATTTAAGAAATGTCTTGCCACAATTTGTGAATAGATTTGCAAATCCTTGAATGGAAGCTCATTGGCGGTATCCCAGCCACCTCAGAGAACCACAATATCCCCTCTAATACAGTTTATCAATGGAGGTACAAACAGAGCACCCGTACTGCTCAACATGAATACAACAAAGGTTTGTCATATTTGTGACTGAAGCAGGAAAACCTTTTACATCAACAGTAATGTTTAAAGTTTTCTCCTTAGTTGTTTTACTGGTCAGGTCCGTTGACCAAAATGGATTTTAAGCAAATCAACTCTTGAAAAGTTGACAAATTAGATTACTACCAACCCTACTTAATATTAGGACCAGGCATTGCAGCATGCCTAGGCAAAACTAGAGCTAGTGTTCACTATAGCTAGTTACCACTGGCAACCTAAAACAAATCATTTCTGATTGGCAGCTGAATATTACTGCACCATTCTAAATGGTTACCTGTTCCAAGATCCTTCTGCAACGTTTTTTCTCTGTTAGATTTGTTTTAAAAAGGTCTTCAATTGGCCGATAATTCGAAGCATCAAGAATATTTCTAAGGAAAAATATAAATCCATTTACACATGTGTATACAGAAATTGCCACAAGTGACAGTGTTCATGCATTTTATGCATATGTAAAGCCAAGTGCAAGTTCTGTGACCACAATAAACTACTTTGTGGATCTTTATAAACGTAAGATTCATAATTCTGCATAATTTCTTCCACATACACACCACTATAGTCTGGCTATGAGATGACTGCCAGAGCCTTTAACTTGAAACACATTAGCCTATGCCAAATATAAAATTGTTTCCACAAAACATCACTCCAGAAAAAACATTTCTGAGGACACTCTGCAAGCACAATATATGTATGTATGGCTAGCTTTACACTTATAGATGGAAGCATTTCAACAACCTTCCCACTTGAAATCATGGTAAGGATACATACCCGTCCAATAGGGACCATAAGGAAAAAAAATGGCTGCTGAGGTTATGCTTCCTTAGTCACCTCTCTTACACAAGCTTGTGAGTTGGTAACAGAGTCTCTTTAAGCTGACAAGTAAAAGCCCTGATTAGCTATGAGTGCTGCCCTCCCACACACAGTCTGAAGTCGGGTTCGAATTTCAGCTGGTTCCTGATGAAAGGACCAAAATTTGTACCATGGGTGCCTCTGTTGGCATCCTTCTCTCAGCATCCCTTGATTGGCTGATCTAAGGAACCAGTTTTAAAATTCTCAGCCAATCAGCTGCTAGCTCCATTTGGGTATGCTGACAGCAGCTGGTGGCAATGCAAACAAAAGGGGATTTGTCTGTCAAAGCACTTTACTGTTGCTGTGCAGAGGACTACATGAAGCTGATAGGAAGTGGACACAGGGGTGTTTTTTTAAATGACTTTCTGGAGTTAGACTTTCATTGTCCATTGCTTCATCTCATTTTTATAATGTTCATTTACCAACTACATATTAGTATACTGTTACCAATTATTAAAGACCTTGTATATATGTATATGTGTGTGAGTGTACATGTATGTGTCTGTGTGTGTGTGTGTGTGTGTGTATATATATTATATACACAGTCATGGCCAAAAATATTGGCACCCCTGCATTTCTGTCAGATAATGCACCACTTAATGCAGAAAATTGTTGCACTTACAAATGTTTAGGCATTCTCCTTTTTTTTCTTTTGTTTTGTATTGGTATGACACAAAAAACATGGACTGGGCACAATTATTGGCACTTTTTCCAAATTGCATGAAATAATTGCATTCCACGTTTTAATGGAAAAGCATGGACAATCTCAAAGTTACAAGTCCATCTCCAGAGCTCTTAATGTTCCTGTGTCCTCTGTGCGCAACATCGCCAAGAAGTTTACAGCCCATGGCACTGTAGCTAATCTCCCTGGACGTGGACGAAAGAGAACAATTGCCAATATTTATGGCCATAACTGGTATACTTATATATATATATACACACACACACACACACGTATACTGCATTATAATGTATAACACCGATAATTAGGGGAGGGGGCTATTACTCTGCAACATGTATGTATATTATTTTTTTATCAAAAAGGTCTAAATTAAAAAAGGTTGAACATAATGGCAACTAGAGCAAAACAATAGCAGCTACAGTTAATGAAAAAAACATTCATGTTTAATTGTTTAATTAATTTTAACATTAAAACAGTATTTTTTTTTCTCAAAAGACATGAACTCTTCCACGTCAAACTGAAAAGTGATTTCTGCAAAATAATTGAAAATAATTACAATAAAAAAACTGACTGCATAACTACACCCCCTTTTTTATGACACACATTAATTATCACTGGTGCAGGCAAACTATTTTTCAAGGTCACATGCTGTATCATATAAGGCCGCTAGAAACGTTTCAAAAGATATGACAATGCACAATCCCATGGACACCAGGTTTAGGTATATTGTTAGTCTCATGAAGTTATATTACTGAACAATGAATGGCGATTAATCACGATTGTTATATGAGGTAGGAAAGCCCCTCTATTGTCTGTACATGAATTGTCTATGGAATATGTGTTGTATACTGCTGTACAATAGTACTGCCATTTGTTAGGTACACTACAAGAGATCGCTGTCAGTGATACTGTTTGGTGTTCCGTCACAAGGGTGACTGAGTGGAAAAACGAATGTTAAATACAAGGCAAGTGTGACTCATCCAACTCCAACGTTCCATTTGTAGTAGTCAACACATGTACTAGTAAAGGGCAACAGAATGATTTTCTACAGACATTGTTACCAATGACTTATGTTTTGTCATACACAAATCCAAGAAGATATTTTATATAGTGTGTTTCCCTAGATTTAGTTTAAGGTTGATAAGAGACAAATCCATCTATTTCAGCCCCTTACAACCCGTGTAGCTTTGGTCTAAAAACAGAATTATATTATAAATATATTTAACAAATCATTTTATGTTATAATTAAATATTTTAAATATTAAATATACATATAATTATAATAACATTAAAAAACAACATTCATTTAGCTTAAAGTTACTGTTAAGAAATATTTCCATGTCCTCCGTTAATTTGTTTTGCCCAACTGTATTCCATTTAAAGCTGATCTAAACCCCCAAAACAAAAAATGAATATACTGAAGTTGACCAATCCTTAAATGTGGTGGTGGTGGCGGCATTAGTTTTATTTTACCAGGCTTTTGTTCCTTTATTTTCACCTGGTAATTCTGAAATTAACCTACTTCCTGTCCTAAGGTAACAGCTCTCACTCACGGTATGAAAACAAAAACTAAGATAGGGCTACATAAGTTGCCAGTTTTCTATCCTCCATGGGAAGAGAGGGGGTCTGTAGTCCTCAGAAATAGTTGAGAAATGTAATTGAGAACAGTCAACAAAAGCAAAGACAAAAAGCACAGGAACTTATCAGCTGATCCACAGGTAGTTTTTAACTTATAAAAAGATCTATTAAAAAAAAAGGAGGTTTCAGTGGTATATTTAAAGTGATATTAAAGTCAAAAGGGTTTTAAGGGATTTCAAATGTTGATTGAATGTCTTACAATGGATGCTGCTTCTTAATGTTTAAGAGTTTTAGTTTCCTGCAGAATCAGTTGGTTTCCCGAGCACTGGCCCTGATATCCTGTTTTAGGTTGACTCCTTTCTCTTGCAGGGTCCTATGAAGCCTTGTGTGTGCTAATAAGCTGTATGTATCTGCACAAACACACAGACACAGCAATTTAATACTCACCTCCCTCCCCTTCCCCCCATCAGGTAGCTAGACAGTTGCCTGAGACAGCTATGTTCCTTGTGACCTTATACTGGATGCGAAGTTCAGGGAAGCGGAGCTGAGAGAGATGGAGCCAACTGTTTGGAACCATGACGGTAAATGCGTGGGCAGAAATGTAAAGAAACACTTTGCATGGTAATGTATAGTTGCTTGATCTGGATGCATTATTCAAAAAGGTTTGAGAGTTTAATATGACTTTAACAGACCAAATAAGAGACGTTTATTGTTAGGGTTTACATATATTTTAAATTAAAATAGGGCAAAGCTATTCCCCTACTCTACATATATACCTATACATTTCTTTACTTTACTTTAAACCCTTGAAGTCCCTCCAGCGCAGGCGCCACTCTCTGATCCAGCGCAGACTCCTATGTCTTCCTGTGTCCCACAGAGTCTGTCCTGCGTGCACGCTCCTGGCTGCGTGCATTCACTTATACGCAGTCTCTCCTCTTCTCCCCTCTGGTGATATGGACTGCGCATGCGCCGGGAGCGGGCGGCGCAGACACAGGTAAGTACTACCTATTTGACAATTTATTTTATTTTTTTTCCATATGTGGCATATTTCTAGCAGTAGATATCTAGAGGCAGAGCCAGCTGTACCCGCCCCCTCCCCCGTCCGTTCCGCCAGTCAGCGCTGCCGGATCGGAGCGGGGAGGGGGGAATCCAGCCCCTCCCCTGTCACGGCAGAGAGCCGTGACAGGATCGAGAGGTGAGCGAACGCCGGTATGTGTTCGCTCACCTCCCGATCTACTGAGCCGACCTGTGACAGTCTCATTGTCACAGGTCGGCTAGAACTATGAGGTGAGTGAAAAGCACTCACCTCATAGTTCTCCTTTAAAAAGAGAGACTTTAATTTGCTATTAAGCCACACTTTTTTTAAATATTTTGTCACAAACCACCTGTAATATATCACTTTCCTGCTAAGTCTGGTATTTTGCTATACAATGTTTTGTCGTCAGCAAACACGGCAACTTTCTATTTCATCAAAAGATCATTAAAACAGACTAGAAATAAACTTTATATCTGCATGTTTATCACCTGAGTGAGGAACCATAACCATGTGTAATGTTTTTTCAATAAAAATATGTGTTTTTCTCAAGGTTCTATACTGCTGAATGTTTAAACTACGAGTGTACTATATGTGAAATAAACTAAATATCAGGATCAATATGTAAAGGCAGAAAAGTTTACGTACTTCACAATACAGATGGATGCAAAGTCAAACAAACAGCCCAATCTCTTGAGAAGGATGCACTGGCACTGGAGAATTCTCTGGAGGCCACAATCAGTTTGAGTATTACGCAGCTAAAAGTTACATCATTAGAACAACTCGCTTTGATCAACTCAAAAAACAAAATAGATAAAATAATAAATAAAAGAGATGGATGCCAGATTTGATCTAAATAGTGCATGGAAATGTCAGCGCCAAGAGGTGGGAACCACATAGCAGTGCCTCCCAACTAAGGGCCTGTTCACATGATATCAGGTCCTGATCAGGTCGGGATCTGCAGACACGGTGCTACTGATGGTGCGTTTTTGCTGTGTTTTTGATGCGTTCCTGGAGTGGGGCTGTTAGTATGTAAGCTGCAGTGCAGTGCGTTTGACGCATTTTTTATGCGTTTTGCGTTTCCTGACCGTACAAAATGTGACATGCAGTCAGGGCCGGCCTTAGGCCTTTAGAGAGAGGTCACAAGAATGGGTCCTCTTTCAGTATGAAAACTATTTAAGCTTAAGAAACAGAAGGGATCTCTAGTACACACAAATCCTTTCCTTGGAGCAGAACTCCAGCTCAAAATAAAAACTATAAGAAATGCAATTGAAAGCTAAAATAAAAAAAGGAACACCATCAAATTGTCAAGCCCTTCCGATACACTAAATGGTACCTGACCAATGCTGCATCGAATGCCTCGGGTGCCTTGCAGGTAGGAAACGTGGGTACTGCTTGATGGCACTGTACAGCTGCATCTATATAGATGATGATATATTCATTGTGTTTTACGTGGATTATGCAGATTCTTTATGGGATGCCATGGATGTGATCAACTACTGCACTATATACCTATTTCTCCTGAAGTAATGCCGTAAGTTTTACACTGTAAAAATTGCTGAAACTTTAATAAAACATATTTTGAAGAAAAAAAAAAAAAAAGAACACAAACAATTGTTGCTGCAATACTCACCTTCAAGCAAGTGCTTTTCCCCACAGTAATCATTTTCTGTGACAAGATGTCCTCTGTCTTCCAGGTTGAATGATGAAGAGCATCATTCAACCCACTTCCATTATGCCCAGGCCCCCAAGGACCCACCCCGAGTCTTTTCACTTCTGCATTAAAGGGTATTTACAGAGCACAATAACTGAAACTGACATTTACAATTTATGCACCTAGACTGGGGGAATATGTTGGAGGTTTCAATCAGACAAATCATATCTGAAGGCAGGAAGCACACCCCGGCATTTATATCCACACAGGTAACACAGACACCAATCCAATCACCGTGGAATGTGGCAAAGCAGATGTCGACTGCCCAAGAACAGGATCGGAGGTGTGAAAGTTGTGGAGCCATCCTGTTCAAGGATCATAGTCTTACTTCCACGGCAGGTGTAAATCTGATTGGCGGCTGGGAGAAAATGCCTAGTACATTTCATTATTTATTACGGATGCACTGATACCGGTAGCGATATTTTTGTTCCGGTACTCGCCAATACCGAATACTGAGTACCGGAAGTCCCATTCAGGAATGACTCGCCACCTGACTTCCTGATTAGCTGGGAAGCCGGGCAGCATATAAAAGACTCGCCACCCGGCTTCCAGATTAGCAGGGAAGCCGTCCCCATGCATCTCGTCACTAGGTGACGAGGGAGCATGAAACCGGTTTCCCGACCAATCAGGAAGCTGGGCAGCGTGTAATGACGTGCTGCCCGGCTTCCTGATACCGGAAGTATCGGTGTGGGTGCATCCCTATTATTTATGCTTTCTGTATGTGGGGGACAACAGGGAGCCTGTACTGAATGTGTCTGGGAATACCATATCTTTCCTGCATTAGAAATGGGTTCCCAGATTTCCAGGTTCTGCTCAGATGTAAGAGGGGTGGACTGATGCACTACAGCTATTATTAGAAAATTAATTTTTATTTTGGCTGGCCTGTTTCTTTAATTGTTCCAAAGTAAGAACAGTTGTGATAGCCCCCTGGCAACAAATCAAATTTCTCCCACACTACACCAGAAACATAGGATGGAGGATATCAATAAACCAATTTGAAGTATTAGGGCTAATCCCATCATAATCCAGGTTCCACCAAGAAACAAGCAACAATCGTTTCAATAAGGAAAGTCAGTAAAACGTTGTCTTCCTTTGCTGAGAGGAATCCGGGGATGACAGATCAGGTCATATCCTTATTACAGGAAGTTCCATCGATTAGAAATAATTATCTCTTCACTTATACAGATAATCATTACCTAACAGGTTTAAAGCCACTAGAGAGCAAACAAACCATTCTCTATGGGCAGTGCAGCAATTATACAAGTCAAGTTGGAAAACAACAATCCACCTAATGGCGTCTGTGTTTGTTATCATTGTCCCACTGATAATAGAGTCATCTGACGTATTCAAAGATGCAAGAATGTTCAAACACCTTCACTACAGGGATTATATGCCATTGCATTTTACCATTCACCATTCTTATTGTCATGACTAGCAGACAGTTTACAGCATCGTAAAAGAACCACAAGGCAGGAGATGAGGATGATGATGGCCCCCAGGACCGTCCCTTTAATGAGGCAGTCTGGGGCTGCAGCATCTCTTTGGGTCACACTACAGTTCTGCCTGCTGCCCTTTTCCTGCCAGAGAAACCCAGGATGCTAAGAGCCAGACAGGGAGATGTGCAAGGGCCATGCATCAGCTCTTAGCATCCTGGGATGCTTTGCCTGGTGTCCCGCAGAGCTCTTGGGAACCAGTGACGTATCTTGTTGCCAGGAGCCGGGCGGGACCCCGGGATGCAGAGCTCACAGAGGGTGATGTCACTCCATCACCGCTGATCCACCCACCCCCCGGCAGCCTCAGCCCTCATTTACCGCTGACCCTCCCCCCACCCCCAAAATAAAACCATTCATTTCTATGGCCATGTTCACATCTAAGCGTTTTGTCACTTGTAGCACTTCCCTGCCCCATAGACTTCAATAGAAATGCTCAAAAACACAAGTTTGCTGCATTGTTTCATATTTTCGCACATTTTTACAAGTGTAAAACGCACATCTATGCATTCTCATCAAAGTGTCACAATCTGCTTGCAAAAATGCGCGACTGTATGTGTTACGCACATAAAAAATTTGCAAACCACGCAAGAACGTGCTACACAAAACGCGCATAGAAGAAGCTGTCACTCAGGTGTGAATTAGAGCTCAGGCGGCAAAAAGGCTAAGGACACCATTGATCATCCCATACGGATAGTTTTAGTCCGGACAGGTAATGATCGCACATATGAGCACGTGTAGATCTAAGAGTCACCTCCAGCTACAGAACTGATGATTTGACATGTTGGATATTTTTAGGTCCTTGCTCATACTGCCCCTGAAATAAACTTGCACATGACGCCCAACTGCAAACCTTCCAACACCTCAACTGGGTAATTCAAACTTACATGTTTATGGCAAACAACTTTTGGGGGCTGGATCATGCTTGCATGACTGACTTCACTAAGGTCAGCTAAATTACAAGTAAACCAATAGGAATTCAGATTTCACGGATTTGACCTCAGTGACCCAAACCGTGAGGAGTTAATGTGGGTTAGTGACATGATCTTAGCTGCTTACTTTAAAATAAGCTACACATAGGGGGTCATTCATAAACGTATGCACGGCACTAGCACCCTAGATGGCGCTAACAAGTACAAGTATAGGAAATACGTATACTTGTCAGCACCATCTAGGGGCGCTAGTGCCATGTAAATGGCATCCACTCGGCTATATGCCAGGCTGAACTTTTATAAATGAACCCCTTAGGATTTTGGCACAAAAAAATTAAACCCACCCCAGAGAAAGCTTTCCTCCCCCCATTTAGTTTTGCATTGCATGGATAAGGGTTCAATTTATATTCCTATATGTTGTTCCCTCTATGGGAAGAGAATGGTAATACAGCACAAGCAGGTAGTCATGTCCTTAGGGAAAGAGACTGGAGATGTGCACCCGGTGGGTCAGGGCTCTCTCACATCTCCTAGGTACTTGAAGTGATATTAAGCTCAAAATGTTTTTAAGCTACACTATATTTCCAAAAGCATTGGGACGTCGGCCTTTACACGCACATGAACTTTAATGGCATCCCAGTCTTGATGTTGAGTTGGCCCACCCTATGCCGCTAGAACAGCTTCAACTCTTCTGGGAAGGCGTCCACAAGGTTTAGGAGTGTGTCTATGGGAATGTTTCACCATTCTTCCAGAAGCACATTTGTGAGGTCAGGTACTGATGTTGGACGAGAAGGCCTGGCTCACCGTCTCCAATCTAATTCATCCAAAATGTGTTCTATCTGGTTGAGGTCAGGACTCTGTGCAGGCTAGTCAAGTTCCTCCACCCCAAACCCGCTCATCCATGTCTTTATGGACCTTGCTTTGTGCACTGGTGCACAGTCATGTTGGAACAGGAAGGGGCCGTCCCCAAACTGGTACCACAAAGTTGGGAGCATGAAATTGTCCAAAATGTCTTGGTATGCTGATGCCTTAAGAGCTCCCTTCACTGGTTAATAACACCTCCTAGACTCCAATCAGCACCTGGTTGTGACTAACAGATTATGTGTATTGGAGCAACATTCACCATATTTATTCCCAGATAATTTTTTGTACAAGTCATTCTGAATTGAGAAAGCCGGTTGGATGACCATTGAAACGTCTTCAAGAAAAATAGTCCAGTTGCCTTGACTTATTTTTTTACAGATATAATTAACTGTACTGTGCTGCCAGATCTCATTATCATGAACACTGTCTGTCTTAACAAAGGGTTAAAGATCTAGAAGCATTTTACGTGGATGAGAGGAAGCTCAGTCTGTCCCTAGTCTTTCCTGTTACTTGGAAATTGTACAGAGAAGCTGCAAAGCCTCCGGCTATACAGACGCATATTTTAAGTATGCGATGTGAAGGAGAACACATAACAAACATATAGTGGGGTTTCTAAAATGTGTGTGGAAAAAGCGGAAGTACACTTTAAATGTTGAGAAATGTTAATGATGGCCCACGCGGGAAGTAAGCAGTGTGTGTACTTACACAGCCAACAGCTCCAGGGCGCTCAATCTGTCTTTACTAAATGTGAAACAATTCAATATGTTCACTACTTTTGCTGCAGGTATGGCGACCATTTTCTGCCAAAATAAAAACACAAGAGGTTACTTAAAAACAAAACAAAAGTTTACCATTAGTTTTACCATTTCTACATAAACTTATACCATGCAAAATGATTTGGTGGGATAAATCGATATCCATGACTTGGAACTTTATTACAGCTTTCAAGTGTACCTGTCATTTATAGACGGTAACAGAAGACAATTTGTGGCCTTGCACATGGGGCAATATTACTAGCATCTACAGCAATGGTCGGCAACTTGACACTACAAGTCCCATGAGGCACGTCAAGACTGATGGCCACGGGCATGACGCCCAAAAGCCAGAGGCATGATGAGATCTTGCAGATTAACCACAGTTGAAGTGCTGAGGTTGCGTACCCCTGTTTTACTAAATGTCGGAATTTTCTGAGATGTTATTTACACCTAAAAAATGTCTGCCTCCACTTTGTTTGGATGATGGGCATACTTCTCATTCGCCAGAGATGTTGTCAGGGTTCCAATAAATGGAAAAGCTTAATGCTGGTACTAATGGTTGCCTTTGTTTATGTACAGGTACTCTTTTATAGAAGGAAACAATGTGAGCCTCGAGGAAAATAAACACCCAACAATGTGGATTAACATTATAAAAACAAGATATAGCATCATTACATATGAGGAAGGACACTTACATGTTGCATGGCTTTCACTGCCTTCAGCTGAGGCTCTGCCCATGAGAAATATCTCAACAGCTCAACCACCTAGAAGTGAAAATAGACAAGGTTGGTGTTGCAATACATACACAGTAAACTCCTCATTAACCAGCATTCAAGCAACCAGCACATACATTTTAGGACATAATGTCCTAGATTTTTATGCCAGTTGCTTGATTGACACATGCACACTAAAAAGTTAGCAACTAACTCTCAAGCCAACAAACCCCGAGGGGCACGGGGGTTGCTTGGGAGTTGCTAGTAACTGTCAAGCAACAAGAAACTACAATTATCCGGCATCTACCGATCCCCATGGATGCTGGATACCTGAGAGTTTACTGTTGTTGGACATAGGTACTGGTGGACATGTACAAAATTCTTGATATGTGTCTTTTGTGCTCTGCACATGTCCCGCTGCCTCAAAGCAACCTGAGGAAATGTGTTGCTGCCTCAAAGCCACCTGAGGCACGCGCACACTGCCCGTTTAGCATTGCATTCATCGATGATCGCAAGTACGATCTGCCAGTCCATGATGGACAGATCGTACGTTTTTTTAATTACTTTACAACCCTCGTAAGACAAAGGTCTTTCGAAGGTTGTAAAGTGTATGGCCAGCTTTAAGGGAATTTTAAAGCCAATGGGGCTGATAGTAAGAATCCAAGAGCTGCAGTGGGAGATTCCTCCATCCACACTGATAAGATTGTTTTTTCAACTTTCAAGCTGAACAAAAAAACAAACAAACAATCTACTAGTGTATACCCAGGTTTACAATGCAATTTTATGAGTCTGTTAACCCCGTGAAAACAGCCACATCTAGTAGAGTGCATTGATAACTAATCCAAATAGTTGTTAAGCAGAGTGATTGCAGTGAAAGCTATACAGAAACCAATGCAGCAAGTTATGATACCTAGAGCTTCATCAAACAAGGTTGTGCATCAAATGTAAGTTATACCAGAAATGCCATTCCTCCCCGTTTCATATACTGCAATGCAACTATAGAAACAATATTATGTGTGGCCCTTCAGGGCAGTCTAGAAACACATATAAGCTTTTCCTTTAACTGCACTGAGCTCAGCAGGCTTGTGAACAGCCAGTGTGTCACAAGTCATGGGTACCACAAGCCGTAGGCACCAGAAGCTGTGGATTCCAGAGGCCATTGGTACCACAATCCGTGGGCACAGGAGGCCATTGGTACCACAATCCGTGGGCACCAGAGGCCATTGGTACCACAATCCGTGGGCACCAGAGGCCATTGGTACCAC